CGCGCCGCCCCGCCCCTCCCGCCAGGCGCCCCGGCCCCGCGGGGCCGCTCCGGTGTAAACGCTGAACGGAGAAGGTACCGGTAGATGGCACCCGAGAACGCGCGGTTTCAGTCTGGGAGCCGTAGGGCCTTTTGTTATCCTGCAAATGGCGTCCGTCGCGCCGCCTTTGCCTCAGTTTCCCCCGGCTACCGAGGCGGGCACTGGTGGTGCTTCGACGCGAATTTCTCCATTCTCGGGGAAAACAGGGTTTTCAAACCGGGAGCCCAAAAATCCTGAGGAATCTGAACTGTAAAAGTCACCTAGCAATGGGCAGTGTGTCATAGAAGATGTACAGGAGTGGCTGTGGGACTGGGAAAAGGCCTCAGGGCCGGTTTGCTGTGCGAGGGAGCCAAGCAGTTCTGCCTGGGCAGCAAAGCTGACCCCAGGGCGCAGTCCTTGGTAAAATGTTTAAGTTTTGCAACAGAGGCCCTGTTTCCTCCTCTTGGCTCAGAGAGGGACTCCTTGTACCGTACAGGCTGTAGTTTATTTAGAGATGGAATGGTCCTGCTTAGTCCTGTAGTCACAGTCAGAGCAGCCGTGCTCCCTCAAAGTGTGGCCTATACGGGGATAAGCCAGCAAATTTGTACAAAAGTGCTACCATGCTTAAGAGCAGTTTCATCTTAAAACTAGTTTTTACTAGAAGCACCAACAGTCTGGCTTGCTTTCTATTCTTCCCTGGTGCCAGCTTTGACCTTCATTTTATAGCACAGTGAATTGATTCACAGAGTTAAACCAGCAGAAACACATCCACAGCTGGCTTTTGGTTTTCCCGAGTTCATTTTCTGCCAGTTTGGTGTCTTGAATCTGTTCAGTACATGGTCAGCTGAGCATCAGTGCCAGCACGGGGCATTAGCACAAGCAAGGGGCTGTGGGCTGGAGACAGGGTATGATCTCTCAGGTAGTGGACAGTAATACTGTAATGTTCATTAGCTCAGTGTAAAGTGAAGTGCAGTAAATACAGGGAGAGTTTTGAGTGGGTGGTGACATTCAGGTGACAAGGCATCTGTTTGGAAATGAGGGCAAGCCTTCATTTTGTGTCATAGACAATGAGGAGAGGGAGGGTAGGGATCTCACTTAAGCATTATTTGTTTTATTGACTAGCAGGTCTTATGGGTAGGCCTCTCTTCTTCACTTTCCCTCATCTCTGAAGTTCTCTTTGTCTTAAAACTCTGGACCTTGTTTTAAACCCTTGCTATGCCTTGAACAGGATTTATTATTTGTCAGGGCACCCAAAAGAGGTCATTTAGCTGAAACTACTGTTGTTTAAGTTTTCAGGGAGAACCCCTAGATAAATGAATCCAGCTCTTTCAGCTGCTGCCAATTCCTGGCAGAAGGGTTACATAAACATACTCTAAATCTCAAGGGTATTATAAATAAATCTTAGAAAATATTAACTTTTGTTAATCTCTGAATGAACCAAAATGGTGCTAAACTGATTTAAACCCTTAGTAAGAAAAGAATAAACCAGGGGTCGTATAAGAAACAATAATCCTGACCTCTTTCTTGGTGTGCTGACATTTGTTTCTTGTTGTTCTGTACCTTTACTATTCTCATTAAATTACTTTTTTTTTCTCTTTAAACAAATATTTCACGTGTCACATATAGTTACTGAAAAGCTTCTTCAAGTCTGTATAGATTCTAGTAAATTAGCCTTTTGTGCTGCCAGCTCAGTGGGAGTAATGATTTGGCTTAAAGTTTCAGTGAGATTTTAACACTGTATATGAAAATCTAAGATTAGTAAGGGGTGTCTACAAACTTTTTTTAGTGATCTCCTTGTGTTAAAGAGCACATTTCATCACTTTTTCAATGTTTCTCTCAGAAGCTGAAAGGTGATTGCCCCTCTGGTGTGTACTTCTCACTGAAATATTTTGTCCCACTGACACCTCAGATAAAACACTGAAATCCTTGGGCAGAAGTGCTAGTGACACAATGGCTGGTTTAGGTAGAGATAATTCAGTTATTGCTCTAACCTGGAATTCCTGGGGGAAAAAAAAAAAAGTTTTTTGTCAAGAGATACGAATCAGTTACAGCTGACCCTTCTTAAAAGAACATCCAGATACTATTTGTCAACATATAAATGAGAAAAAGAGACCCTCAGCTATCCCATGATGGCCAAACAAAGGCTGAAGTTTAGAAGGTCTATGTATATTCATGTGCTTGTACTAAAATAAGTCTTCACACAGAGGAGAACAGGATAGAGAGACCCACCTCAGAATGTCCAATGACCGGAGGCTGAGGTGTTCATTGGGATATGGAGGTTGTCACGAGGATCCCTTGTCTGTAGCAATGAGAGCAGAAATATAAACAGTGATCTGACAGTTCTCTACATTCACATGGGCAAGAATATATTCTCTCTCTCTCTCATTTTCCTCTTCTGAATAATCCTGGATTCATTCCCGTATCAGAGTTAAGGATAAATCCATGTGTAATAACAATAGTGTTTCCTTTCCAGTTCATGCCACAGCAAACAGGCGCATGCAGTTAGTTATTTTTACCTGGACTACTAAAAATATTCAACCAAAAATTTTTGTTTAAAGGAGTACACTAAGAAAACATGTCTAACTGCAGTCATTTCAGTCCTGGCCACAGAATAATATATTAATGCATGTAGTAACAAGCACTGGGCCACTTTAAAATGCAGTTTTCCTGTTTTCCGTGGTATAAACATCTAAGTCTTTAATTACAAAGTAGATGGAAAGTTCCAAAAGGACATTGCAGTGAAGGGGTTTCATCATTGTTGATGTTGCATTTGTTTGTTATTTGTAGGTTTTTCTGTAGATAAATTGCTGGTAAACATTCATTTATTTCTTGTTACCACTGTACTCTTTCACTCCCCAGTTTCAAGCATAAATAAAAGTTGTAAAAGGTGCTATGCTAACAGCAGTGGGAAACAAAGGCCTCGGTGGTTTATGGAGGATGAGGACCACTGCATGCTTCCTTGGCTGTGTGCTGCAGGTCTGAGTTGGTGTGACTGTCCTTCAGAGTGAAAGAAGACAGCGATTTTTGCTTACCCACTAGCACCGTTGCCAACTGTGGGCATACTCCACTGCACTCAACAGGAGTTGCTGCTCATCTGATAATCTCAAGGCTCCTGTGGTTTTACCGGAGATTCAGTTTTACTCCTACGGAGTGAGATGGAGCTGACAACTCACTTTACATACACCATGAAGTAAAGGCCAGATGTTATCAATTATTCCTGATTCAGACTGTAGACTTATGAATGAAACAGTGGGTATTCAGGTCATACAACTTTCGTTGCATGATACCTTTTGATACTTATCTTTTTGTTCAGATAGTCTCTTATCTCTTTTTAGCCAGTGGATTAAAATAGGACATCTACAGAAAGTAATTCAGAATAAGGACAGACATAGCTTCAGCACTCAGATCATGCTAATTAACCTTAGTCTCCCTACTAGTTGTAGAGTACTGACCCTCTCTGACCAGGAACCTTTCCACAGCTGTGCCACATTCTTTGAACACACAAACAGGCAGAAGCAGAACTTGGGGCCAAGTTTTCAAGGGCTTAGTGCATCCTAACTGCCCAGCTTCCACTTTGACATCAAAATAAGACCGTCAGAATTAAGAAGCCTTTGCTATTAATCTAACGAGTTCTTTTGAAAATTGTTCTCAGTGGGGACAGCTCACTCTCTTCAGAATTTTGTCTCTAGTTTTTCAAGACCCATCTTAAAACCTCCATACAGTCATGAGAGGAGATGACTTATCTGACTGCCCTTGCACAGAAGCACAGGCCCACGCAAACACAGTTTGGTTCCATGTTGTTGCCTGGGGTGACACGCATACAATATCAGATGCAAATATGGTGAGTATTTGAATGGAATCCACAAAGTGTGTGCTTTTAAGATAAATTAGAGCCAAGTCCTTCTGCTGCTGCTTTGGATGCAAATATATTTGTAATGAACTCTTGGTTTTGTATGTATCCCTTATCTTGCACCTGTTATCATCTTTGTTGTAAAAAGCTTAGGGGTAAGCTTTCCAAATGATACACCCCATCTGTGCTACCTGGATAAATAGTGTTAGCAAGAAACATGCAAACTGAAAAGCCACAAGTTCCTGACAGCCAGGTATCACCACTGTTTCTCTGGCTAGCAAGGGCACAATCTTTGTGTTCTTTCAACAAGTTGCCAACCTTTACTTGTTTGAAATTCTTGTGAAGTTACTGGGAGGGAGAAGAGAGAGAGAGAGAGGAAGCTGAGGGTGTGCAAACTCGGTTTTGGCATGCACGTGAAGTCAGTTGCACATATAATAAGGTTTTCAATAGAATCCACCAAGTGAATGCTTTTTTACCAGAGCCAAAATAGAACTCAGTGTTGTGCCTGCTGTGTTGGAGGCAGGTGTATTTGTTGTGAATTCTGCTCTTGTTTATATCTTTTTGCTTGGACCCCTGCAAACCAGACTAGCACTTAGAAGGAGGGAAGGTGAATAATGGGAAACTGCATCCCTCAGACTTGTCCCTGACAAGTCTGGAAAGAAGTGACAGCATATGTAGCAAGGTGAGAGAGCCCTCAGGCATTTGGCAAAGAGAGAACAGTAGGGGAGAACAACTTGTTCCAGAACCTTATCATGTTCTACTGAGATCTCTACATTTTCCTATGGTTTTGGTTTGGTTTTTTTTTTAAGAGACTTACAGGAGGGAGCATTAGGGAGCATTATTGAGTAATTGAAGCACAAGGCTGGCAGCTTGGCTTCTGAAATCCTGTCAATGAGTTCCTGTGGCAACACATGTGCTGTCTGCAATAGTCGCATCTGAGAGTGGTTAATACTTCATGGTCCCTGGGCCACGTCATTTTAACTGACTTGCATCTTTAGTGTTCACATCTCAAGGCCTTTTGGGTGCACAGGACACATCACTATTAGCAGGGACACAGGGTGGTATGAGACCTGTCCCACTGGGGAAACATCCACAGGCCTGTTTCCAGCTCTGCTACCTGAGACAGAGGGGATGAGACCAGCAGTACTGCTGTGGCTGGGTATGGACTGCTCCCTCTTCTGCCATTCATCCTCTGCCTTGCACTCCCTGCACAGACATGCTGGTGCCTGCTGCTTCTGTGTGTTAGAGCAAAGTGAAGGGTAGAACTTGGCATTGTGAGTGCCCTGTCCTAGACCTTGAGCTGTAAGGGAGTTTGCTCAATGCCATTTCACCAAAACAAGAGCAGAGGTAGGACCCACATTCTTTTTGCTGCCTGCTACATGGCAAGAACTAGGAAGGGTACTGCACCCTGATCTGCCTGAGCCTTGTCAGTCAGTGAAGATGATTAATAAACTGGCTACCCTGTCAGAGTCCAAGATGACGGCATCTTTTGACACTTGGATATGCTCCACCAGACACAAGCCAGGAGCTTCCTCTGTCTTCTGCTGTTTAAAAAACTGGTGGCCTGAGGGAATCCCTCTTCATTATGGTCAATTCAGCCTGACCCCTGACCTGTCCAGAAACTTTAACCAGGCTCCAAACTCTTGCAGGGTTGAATGTGCTGCCAGGCAGCTGAGGAAAACATTACATACTTGCTTGCAGTGCTGCAGCATCCCAGGCACCCTTGCTGCCTCCAAGGCCCTTTAACAGCTTGTAAAAGGGCTCAGAGAAAGCTTTCTGTGCAGAACAGGCACTCCTGGGGTGTTGCAGGCCAGGCAGTGTGCCAGCCACTGGGGATGAGACAATAATTTGGGAAGCTCACCTGTAACCAATGGCTGGCAGCAACATGTCCAAAAGTTAGAGAGCTGCAAGGACATAGGCGTGGATTCATTCCACCCTGACTTTTGCTCTCTGCCTCCCCGTGGCAGCCTCCTTCCCCAGTGCCTGTATGAAACTATCACCTCCTCTCTCATTCCTTCATCCTAGCCCCTCATGGGAGGTGCCAGGCAGTCCCAGTGAGAGCAGGCCGTGCAGTCAGCTGTTTAGCAGGAGAGCACCCCAAACCCTACAAGCTTCTCTCTGAAAAAGTTTCTTTTTGAAACCCATTGTGCAAGGGTGTAAGGCTGCCAGCCCAGCTGAAATACCCTTACATGATTCGATGATTTTAGACAGTGAAGACCATAGGGAACAATTGTAGGGACAGGACTGCAGAATACAGTGTAGAGACACCCACACAGGCTCCTGAGACACTGCAGCACTTGTTCTATTTATGCTCATTTTAAAATGGTGATTGAGAGGATACAGGGTTTCCTGAGCTTGGTCCCTCAAGAGAGTAAGGGATGCTGACATTCAAGAGGTGCGATGACAGCTGGCTCTACCAGGGCAATGGCACCTACAGCCACATGCAGAAACAGGATCTTGGGTGCCTAATTATTTTTCCTGACAAAATCTTGGGCACTTACAGCTCCTCACAGGGCCTGAATGTCCAGTCAAACTGCTTTCTGCTTAATCTTTACTTCAGGTAACCAAGTCCCCTTCTGAAACTCAGCATGGTTTCTCAGAGGTCACACAGAGTGCTTCCACTCTGTCACATTGGTCTGCTGCCTCTCACATCATGATCCTACTCTTTCAACCATCCACATGAGCATTTGTGTTTGCACGTTTTCTCTTTCGATGACAAAAGAAAGGCCAGGCATGGGGTAGAGAATAGCTCTAGTTGGCTCTGCTTTGGGCCAGGGGGGTGGACTAGATCTCCAGAGCCACCTCCCAGACTCTGACAGAATCCACCAATTCTGTCATTCTGTGACTGTGAAAATGTAAATGATATTACCAGTATCATTTGACATAAATTTGATTCTGTCATATGATCATTTGATCATATGACAGAAAGCACTTCAGTATCCTTGGGAATAGTCTGTACTAGAAATGGAAAGTACTGAAGAAATCTGCAAAGGAAACAAGGAAGCTGACAGTTCAGTTGTGGACACCAAACTGAAGGAACTTAGGAAGTGCTTCAGGGAAGTGGACAGAGTAAAATATCCATGTAGCCAGGGAGTAATGCTGAATTTATTTTAAAGGGGTTTTTTTTTCCCACCCCCTGTCCCTGAGCACATGAGGAAACTGCAAAGCAGAGCTGTCACAGGTAGGGAACCTTGACATCATTCACCAGTTAGTATCCTTTCTGATTTACAAATGGCATTCCTACTTCTCAGAATCTCTCCCAACTCTGCTTGGCCAAAGCAATTTGCCAGATCCAGGGAGCCTAGGAGAGGAGACACACTTTGGCAGGAGCTGGCAGAATCTTCTGTAGAGGACTTCAGGACACAAATGTACATGGGATTTGTAATACTGAAATCTGCAGTAGTAGGTAGAAACATTCTCCCCAGAAGTGCCCCTTATCAGCCAGGTATAATAACTAGCAATATACAGCAGCTGCTGGAAAAAATTAGATGCCTAGCTACTGCCTTGCTTTTCACTTCCCCACATTTTTCTGGTGATGTGGAGTCTCAAAGCATTTCTAAAACACCTTTAAAAAAACAACTGTTTTCAAATCCAGAAACAGTTCAGAGTTCAGTTCTGAGCATTATAAATGGTCATGCTAATTAAATGCAGCTAAAATAGTGAAAAGAGTTGCAGGGCAGATGAGATCAATAACAAAACACCCTTAGCACAGAAGGGGAAAAAGTGCTGATGTAGAAAGGTGATTTATGGCAATTCTCTGTTGATGAAACAGAGGAATTATTGAGTACCTTAAGGAGAAAGGAGCTTTAGGTTGGAAGATTGACGACTAAAAAGCATGGGGAAGTAATCCTTTCTGCATCAGTATGGCAGAGCTTCAGTTCTGGGAGGCAGGTCAATGTAGGTCAACACTTGCACTGGAAATGCTAAGCTGGGGAACTTCTCTGGTCACCTCCTTGCCCTGTGTTGCCTCCTCCCCACCCCCTCTTTGACAAAGGGAAGCCAGTGCATTTCAGTGTTGTAGTTTCAACATACTGAGCATTCAGCTCCATGGTCTAATTCCTAACCAAAGACTTGAGCGGTAGGCAGGCTGATGCAAAGATAAAATAAGTTGCTCCAAGCATGGTGATTCTTATTTTAGCCTAGAGTTAGCAAGTTATTAAATGTGGCTGGCATTGGGATTTGGCATCTGTGAGCATAGGGGGTCCTTTTCTCATCTTTTATCCTATGTAAGCCACAATCATCTTTTAACATAAAAGCATTTCAAGGTCGATTCATACACATACACAACTGTGAGTTACTTTATGCCCCTCCCCCAGTAACTGCACTAAAAATAAAGTGAGAATAAATTTTCATTCAAAGTGCTGTTTTTACACTTTCTAATAATCTGAAAACAGTGTGTGAAAAGACCATCACTCCATATTCTACACAATAAGTAACAGTCCAGCCTGATCTGTAATTTCATTGCAACACAGGATGAGAATCTGGGAAGAGTTAGCGTGATGATTTTGAACTCTATTTAAATTTCTGTTAATGGAATTGCGTGTTTGAACAATCATACTGTTATGTTTGGACAGTTACATTTTTTATGACCATCACTGGCTGTAGTTAGACATAGTTGTCTCGCTTTAAAGATACCGTTTTTTTTGTTTCAGGAGGTTTCAGCCAGCAGTTATTGCAATTGGATGGCATTTCAATAGCCAGTCTCTAGCAAACTCCTATGGTGAGTCGCAGCATTGGCAAAACATGGCAAGTGTGGTGGTGTAATGTCATGTAACAGCAAGTCAGTTTCTTCTGCTAATATTTTAATGACAACCATCTCAAGCAGACCAAGTTTTCAGAAAGTGTTTGATATTCACACATAATGATCTGGGCTGCAAAAACACCCTTGGAGGATAGAGCTAATAAAATAAGCAGCTAGTTAGTACAAACTTCTTAATTTAATTTTATTGTGAGGAAAGTGGCATAGTTTTCTTGCATGAGAAAGGCACTGCTGTTGTCTGGAAAGTTTCCATATCGCCCTGCAGCTCTCAGATTGCTCCAGTCAAAGGTGTCAATCAGACATTTGCTGTACTTTCACTGTTGTTGGCTTGTACATCTAAATATATTTCACAAATTGTCTTTATTTGAAACACAATGTATATCTGTAAAATATTAGTCATTAATCTGGCACCATTTAGTTGCAAAGTATTAATAATCTGGCATTGTTACATGCTGGGTTTGCATTCTAATTTCCTTTGTCTTGACTGTAAAATAGTGTTACTGCAAACAAAATGCAAGCTCACTTTTTGTTTCCTCTGTTCCAGAGATGCATTTCAGAAGCCGCCTGTTGTGCTCCTTTCCATCAGAGAAGCAAACAAACCTTCCCAGCTCAGCGAGCCACTGCACTGCTTCCTGCTCACCATGACTAACACAGTTACACCAGAAGGAAGTTTAAAATAATTTAATTAGTGTTTGGAGCATAAGGTTCATCTTCAGCCAGACCTCAGACCATGCTTTCCATAGCGTTTGGATCACTGAAATACTCTTATATAAGCCTAATTGACACAATTAGAATGACGACTCCTTACAGATGTGTGTTGCTGTAGCAACCTGGGAAGAGGGCGGCCTAAGTGCCCTCCATATTTAGCAAAATAATATTAATCATAATAGGTAGAAGCACTTTATCCTTTTTATAAGGCACTTGCTCAGGAGCCAAGTGGCTTAGCGTGTTGCAACAAGGATCACTGTAATGGAGTTGAAATAATTTGAAGGTGAGCTAAAATTCTCTCAGTAATAACCAAAATTATATGGAAACAGAAGCATAGTCAAATGTTGTCCAAATCTCCCAGGATATAGGCAGGAGAATTAGCTGTTCAAGGCTTTGATTCTGCTGCTGTAAGAACACAAGGGGAAGAAAAACACCAAAGACATCCATGGAAGCAGGCGGAAGCCTCTAAATTGCTGAGTTTGCCTCGGGTTTATCCTGCTGAAGGGCCTGGTTGTCCAGTGAGAGCTCTGTGGGGAGGCTTTAGATCCACCTGCCATCTCTTTTGTGTTAGAGGGACTCCAAGTTGCTCCATGTTGTGGGCAGTGGATATGGGTATGTATGCAAGTGTTGATGGGCACCGGCAGTGTGGTGAAACGGTAACAGGTCTCCTGCTTCCCCTGGAGCATGCCGGAGTGGGAACAGCTGCTTTGCAGAGCAGATTCAAATGGGTTTGTTCCTGACTCTGTCTTGCATATCCCAGTAAACTTGCACATTTCATCCAAACAGCGTGGTCTCTTTGTCAAAGGGGCTGTGTGAAGTACCTGAGACTCATGACTTAAGTCTTGTTTTCATGAAATCTTTTGATTTGAAGCTGTACGTATTTTGACTGGTGTGATTGTCACTTCAAAGTTATTATTTTAACTAACGCCATTTTGAACTTTGTCCTGATGTCTTTGCAACTTGAACAGTCACACAGTGTTGCTACAGAGTACAAGAAAAACCTGAAGTCAGTGCTGACTGGGACTGAATAATGGGATTTCCATTTCCAAGTGGAAGAAGCAAGCGAATAGCATGAATAAACAAGCAAATGTGAAAAAAAACAAACACTCATGTTTTGGATGATCTTGGAAAATACAGATGAAATGAGATCTCAAGTAGTCATCTATACAATCCCACTCTTTACAGATGGATGAATTTTATCTCTGTCATTCCTGACTAAGTTTTATCTGATGTCTTTTTAGAAAGATTTACAATCCCCAGGCAATCTATCTTAATGCATCACTAGCCTTATTTTTAGAAAGTTTTTCCTAATGTCTAACCAAAGTCTATTTCTGCTACAATGGAATGTCTTAATCATCTGCAGTATCTTTATTTTTGAAGACTGCTCTCATATTCCTGCCAGGTTGCTCTTCACTAGAGCCACCACCCCCTATTTATCCAATCTTCCCATGTAAGTTGTGTTTTTCTAGAGCTCTGATCATACACATTGCTCTTCTCTGTGGCCTGATGAGTGCTTTATCTCTCCCAAGCATGGTGCCCCAAGCCAGGCTCACTGAGCTCCAGCTGAGATTTGCCAATACTGAGAAAAGTGCAAGAATTAGTTTATGTATTTTAATAGCCTCTATTTATATTTGTAACTCTCAGTATGTAGTTTGCTTTTTTGAAGGAGTATGCAACCTCCAGAATATTTCTGCAGGGCTACTATCACCTTCTCATTGGCTCCGCAGTCTGTGTTTTTGCAGTGGATTATTGTTGACCAGACATAAAATCTTGGATTTCCTATTCTTAAATAGCATCTTACTTTTCTTCACTAACAATCCCAGCTATGTAGTTAACTAATGTGACAGTGCTCAGCTGAATATTAAGCTTATATTTCTTCCAACTTGCTTTCAAATTTTTTTAAGCTTTATCACACTGTTTTGTGCCTGGGATCTATAAACCTTCAGCTTTGCTCTAATTATAGTTCCAAAGCCCAGGTACAGTATGTTCATGTGCAGCCTGCACGTGTCCCCTTCACTTATCCTATTCCAGGTACGATGGTATGATTATAGCTGTTTGACCTGTTGCACCATTGGAAGCGCAGCTTGTCCTGATAATAGCACAGTTATGTTTACTGTCCTTGCAGCTCTGGCAATTACATCTCATTACACCACTTTAATTATTCAAGCACTGACATTTGAGTGATAATTTGTCTAAAATTCAGGCACAAAGAAAAAGAGTTCTTTCAACTTCAGCGTCTTTATATTTAACTCTTCTCTTGAATTGCCTGTTTTCTCACAACATATTCCTCACTCTGTCACAACCAGCCATGATGTTTTTCGAAAAACTCTGGAAGACACTGTAAGGCCCTGCTTCTGCCAGGAATTTTATGAAAAACATTTCTAATACTTGAGCACTTTCACCACAGCAGGATGAAAAATTTATCTTTAAAATACATAAGGTAGCATGTTTTCAAGCACTGGCACAGTGGGCAAATGGCTCTTAGCACGTCAGCTGTTGGGGTTGAGCTCTGGGTGATACCAGGCACTTGGAGACTGAGGACATCACCGTCAAGTTGTCACATTCTGCCACACTCACTCATAGCCAAGAAAGTGCCATTCCAATGTATATGTTTTAAGAATTGGAGCATGTTAACTTACTTTCTCTAGGTTTTGGGCCTCACACCAGCTGAACCATCAGCTAGAAGAATGTCCCAGGAGCAGCTCTACTTCACCTTATTCAAGAACCTTTCCAACAACTTGCAGCTATTTGAAATGTTCTTAGACAGCCTATACTAAAAAGGGTTAAGAGCAAACAGCTCTCTTGCATCATCCCAGTGGAGTGCCTGACTACCTGACCACATCCTAGGTATGAGGAACTTAGGCAGTTATGTAGTCTGCCCAAAGCCACACAACAGGTTGACAACTAAATCTGGAACTACGGGTCTCTTGCCGTGATGGCTGGACAAGACAATCTTGCTGGCAAGTCTTACTAAAATCTTTGCTGTTATCTGGGGAGTTATATTGTTATGCAGGGAGGCTATACATTGCTGTGAACACTTAACTTCTCCAAACTGGAAGAGCATGTGGCAGAATCTGTCTCTTGCCTAGAGGCTTCATTAGCACAAATCTTGCAGAGACTGAGACGTCATTAATTTGTTAATGCACAGAGCCAATTTTAAAATGGTATCTGAAAAGAGCTCTTCAGATGACTGTAATACCAGATTCTGAGTTGCAGCAATTCAGTATGCAACGATGACGCTTGCACCTGGCTTCTATGAAATGCTTAGCTCAACAGACAAGACCTCCCACGCTATTTATTCATTCAGCAGAGCTAAGCTGGCACAGAGTGCTGGCATTCATCGTGGCTGACCTAAGCAAGAAACCTGTCAATAAGTACTGGGGATCCCAAGTCAGTTCCTCCGTGTGTAAACTACATTATGCATACATATACACTGTAATACACTGTATAAATAATTTATGAAATACACAGAGACATACATATGTATTTGTATATATACCATGCTAAAATTAGATTTGAACATGCGAGATAAGGACGTTGTGAAGTATTGATTGGCTTTGTTACCGATGCAGTGCCTGAGACCTGGGAGCAGGAAGGGTCTCATCTTTTTTATCCACCATAATCACCTCCAGCTCTGTTGCAACAGACATTATTTGATCTTCTCTCAGAAGTACTTGGCCTTTTTTTTTTAATCTTTTGGAGCTGGTCTGAGATATGTTGAGAAATGTTGGGCTCGGTATTTGAAAGAAAATACCCATCTCTGAAAAGAATAACAACACAGAATCATAGTGTGTGGCTTTGTACCCTGGAAAAACTAAGAGATCTTTCAAAAATAATGGTAATTTGCAATTGGATGGAATCTTACAGTTGAAATCCAAGCACATCCAAGCATATGATGTGATTCATATTACTTGGTGCTAAACTGATGTTGTTAATTCTTTTGTAACTCGTCACAACAGAACAAAGATAGTGCTCACTATTTTAGGAAGCATATGAATCAGTGGGAAAGCTGAAAGGAAACAAATAGATCACTGGTGAGACTAAAAATGCCTCAGAGATGTGAACAGTGTGTGTCTGCTGACTCTGCGGTTGTGCAGAAGAATTCAAGGAAGGGTTTTAAGCATGGCTAGCCACACAACAAAACACACTTCAGGCTGATAGTTTAAGGAGGAAGCTCTCTTGCACGCTGTCTGTCATTCCCACATGATTTAAAGCACAGACATGCTACAGACCAAGAAACCTACTTATCTTCTCTCTGAACATTAACTGTCAATCATTACGAAGATAAATCCAGCATAGGAAAATAAATTATGGCACCAAGTTAAGTTCCTCCTAAACTCAACCTGTACATTGACTGTGGGAGGCCCATCCTTCTAACATCACCACTTTTATTTCACATCAAAAAAATGAAGGGATAATAACCCATCAAACGTCTGAAGCATACAGGAATTTCCTAAGTGTAACACATGCATGTTCAGTGCCATAGTCAAAAATTCACAGGTCATTTCCCCTTTGGATGATAAGAACACTTGACTTTCTGAGGTGGGAGGTGTGCTTCTAGAAAGCCTCTCTGATCACAGGGCAAAGAAGAAAACGGTAGAAGAGCATGATTCCCGGCTGTACCCAGAGCTACAATAGGGTCTTGTATTACCAAGTGCTGAAAGAGAGGACAGGTTCAGGCAACAGCAGTGAAAATGTGCTGGACTTTTTCTAGTACAAGAGACAAATATGAAAGAGGGCAGATAATCCCAATGGAAAATATCTGATGAACGAGTCTGGGCTCAGGAGAAAAATCATTCACATAATGACACAAGAAGAGGTATCTGCCTCTGGCTCTCTGCTGGCTGGCACTATGGTACAGCACTACCTGCTGAGATGCCTGACACACTCCAGCCCAAGCTAACAATTCAAATGCTGTCATTGAAGGTGCTCTAGAAAAAATCAGAGTTATTCAGACCATGGAAATCTATATTGACTTCTTGGAGGATTTTTATTTTGATGGAATGGAGAAAAAGAGCTCAATTTTTGGCTAAAGCTTACCGTTATTTTTTTAATCTGCCTATGATTTACAATGGCTTCCTGCCAATAGCAACTTGAAGACAGAATTATACCTGGTTTTGCTCTCAAACAATACGAAAAGCAGGAACTGCATTTTGACAGTTTCTAAGGAAAAAGAGGTTTTTTATAACCAAGGACTTTTCTGAAAAGGATGGTGGGTTTAATGTTTTAAGATAATAGTTCTTCCACAGAAAACTGAATCCCCCAACTTTTTCAGTTTGGTTTAGAGGATCATATCCAGTAATTTCTGCCTCCTTGGATCTCATCCGGCCAAATCATGAGGCTCCTAGTCATGTCAAAATTGGATTCTTGAATTTGCTGAGTTCATGCTCTAGAAATACAGAAACAGGTCTCTAACACCTGTTTTGCATAAAAGTCTGGAAAGGCCTGCTCTTACTCAAAATTTTAACTTGCTGTTTGGGAAAATAGCATTAGAAACTTGTGATTTACAGCAGGAACAATCAATCTGGTATCTTTAAGACAATGTTACAGAAACATTTGCACTAAAGTCAGAGGAAAAAGAGCAGAAAAGGAAGTGCCCATTTTCATTGAGACTGATGTTTAAATCTAGAAGTCCACTTCAAAAAAGATATTGACATTTGTGCGAGGACACAAATGTCAGACTGTGCTTTTTTAAGCTCGGATCTGTTCAGACTGCTCTTGCTTTAAACAACAGGTTTGAAATATTGGTGCCTAAACTTGGATGGAAAAGCTTGGACTTTTTTGAACAGTGGTTAGTATCTTTTTCATAGGGGAAAAGAAAAAAAGTATTTCATTGTGGTTAATCATAAACTTGAGATAATTTTAAAATTATAAACCCTTGCTGTTTCTGCATATTGCATTCAGCAGGACAGACCAAGACCTATGTGACAGCAGTGATCTTGCAGAATTGCACAGAATCTCTTCCCATACAACACATGACTTTCTGACACAGCCAGATAGAAGCCATGGGGTAGAAGGCATTAGACTTGGTCTTAATCATGATTAGGTTCAGGGCATCAGTTTTAAATGAACATTAAATGGAAATTTTGGTTTTGGTAGCTGTGCTGCATTGACTTTAAATCAATGACACACGTCAGCAAAAGTGAATGGTGCTGAGGTTCCTGTACAAATATGTCAGGTTCATGCTGCGTGGGAACGATGGGTTTGTTCATGCAGGTAACTCAGAGTGATATAAAGTGGTTTGTTACACATTGTTTGGGAAGAATTTTTATTTCTCTTTGTCTGGAAGATACATCTCCATAGTTTGGAGGGAGTTTATTTTCTTAGTCTGTGCAAGCTCTGTTTGGTGTCATTTTCCCTCCTGCTACTCAGTGTTTCTAACACAGAGATAGATCTGCATTCTCACCTACTATTTAAACAGGCATGTCTGCAGAGTAGGGCCTCTCCAAGAGGCACGACACATGGCAGGGCTTTGTTATAAGCTCAATGCGCTCATTGTAACTTGCAGGTCTTGTGGTAGGAAGGTCAGTGTTTCTGTACTCCATGGCTAGACGTACATTGTGCCTGCTAAATACTGCTGTAGTATTTCATCACAGTGGGAACCCGGACAATAGGTCATGCCTTGCATTAATGTGTAGGATCTTGAAAAATCAATGCAGTTCAAATAACAGGGGAGTGCTGCCCAGTTGTTTACTATTCCTGTGACACACAGAGCACTCTGGATGCTCAGGAAGGTTTTTGCAGCCACAGCAATGGCTGTGCCATTAAGCTGCCACTGAGCACACAGAAAGTACAACAGAATCTCTGTTAACTTCTACCAATAATTCAGAATTGTGCAAGGGTATGTATTATTGGAAATATGAATGGTTCCCTTGCTCCAGAGATCTCTTCAGAATTTTTTTTCTGTAATACAATTATAAAAGTCAAATTTCTCAAGGGAAGGCCAGTCTCTGGGTCAACTTTTATGTCCAGCAAGCCTCAGACCAAAATGACACTATTTCTTTTGCTGTCTGAGGGCCTGATCTAACAACCATTAGAATCAATAGAAAGGCTAATGGATTTGAAAGACTTTGGTAAAGGATCTAAGGCCATAGCCTACATCATTGCAATCACCAGAAAATTTGTCATTGACCTCAGTGAGTGCAGGATGAAATACCCAGGCTCTTGGTCAGCAGGTATTTAAGTCCACACACATAATTTATTTCATTTGAAACCATTC